CTTCATCCTCCATCCCCCCAAGACCCTTCACCCTCCGTCCCCCCAGACCCTGATGGCTACAGCGTGGAGGTGGCTCACAGCTGGAGCCAAAGCCTCCAAGGGACAACAGAGCTTTTTCTGTCAGGATGAAGCTTTGATCATGATAGTACCCCAGTTAGCTCAGCTAACTGGGACCAGTGCTTGTGCATGGACCCCTCTGGCCAGGGGAGAAGCATGTGCAGCAGCAAGTGAGGGGAGGGCCGGCTCCTCTCTCCGCTGCTGAGATCAAACACCCCCAAAGCAGAACGCTCCCAGTCCCACTCCTATTGAGTTTTTGGGGTGTATGTGAAGGGTTTTGGTGACGACAGGGCCAGCAAAGGGGTGACCAACCCCCTCAGTTCCTTCCCCAGCTCACCTTGGCCAAACGAGGCGATGCTCTTCTTCAGTGCCTCGAGGTCACACGTGAACCTGGCCACCCTGCCCAGGTCCTCGTCGTACTTCCGCTCGCTCACAAAGTGCTTCGACCAAAAAAACAAACCAAAACAGGCAAAATGTGGATGTTAATTCAGTTCCTGTGCCCAGGAACAAAAAAACAGAGGTGAAAGAACCTGGTTTTGACCCAGGAAAGGGTTTCTGAGTTGGGTGCTGCTTGAACAATCCCTCAGTGAAGAGGCAGGTGGCTGCAGCGACTCAAGCAAAGAGAAAATGAGATTGATTTTGGATGGTTAAATCCACCCCACAGCAGCTCTGCTCCGTGCAACCAGCACAGCCCAAATCTCTGGACATTCACAAGGGCAACAGGTTTCTCAGGCACATTTAAATCCCCAGCAGTTTGAGTTTTCAAAGTGTTTAATTGATGTAACTTTGCACTGACCTCTTGAGGCAGGAGCCGCCGTGCCGGGAGAGCTCAAGTGGTTCGTGGAATTTAAAAGGCACCGGGGTGCAGCGGGGGGGAAGCTCCCCCCGATTTAGGGGGAAGGCAGAGGTCAGCTGGTGCCAGCAGGAGGTTTTCACAACCACTCTGAGCACAAAGCCACAGCCTCACTGCATTCCCTGCTCTCTGCCAGTTCACAGAGTCAGGCTGCACGCACCAGGGTTAATATTTGGATGATGAGTTGTTGGCTGAGGTCGTTATTTGACAAACCAAATGATTTTCAATTCAGATTCAAGGTTTGAGGTGTGCTGTACCCCGCTGTGTGGCTGCAGACAGCAGTGTGGAGAGCACTGGGGGTAAATCCTCGTATCCAGATTTCTTGAAAAGACTTAAAGCTCAACAGAAAATGGCATTTAGAAGTGTCAGAAAGCCAGAAGGTTACCAAAAAAAAGTGGATCACTGTTGAGAACTGAGGATTCACAGCCTTGCTTAGTGCTAGAAGCTGAAGGAGTTGAAACCTTGGGCCACAGGAGCTGACCTGGAGTAAACTTTTGGATCAAACTAACACTGAAAACACAGAATTCACTGAATCTGCTAGATACAAGAGGAATGAAGAGGTTAAAGAGCAAGGAAACAACTCCAAGAGAAGGTGACCAGCACAGTGACCAAGAAAACCAGTAAAAAAATCAAGAGAGCACTGAGCAGGGGAAATGGGTTTAAGCTGAAAGAGGGGAGGTTTAGATGAGATATTAGGAAGAAGTTCTTCACTGTGAGGGTGGTCAGACACTGGAACAGGTTGGCCAGAGAAGCTGTGGCTGCTCCTCCCTGGAAGTGTTCTCGGCCAGGCTGGATGAGGCTTTGAGCAACCTGGTCTAGTGGAAGGTGTCCCTGCTGCTGGCAGGGGGGTTGGGACTGGATCAGCTTTAAGGTCCCTCCCAACCCAAACCAGTCTGGGATTCTCTGATTCTATGAATTAAGGAACTGGGCTCGGGTGCTGGGTGCTGTGGGTGTAACTGGGTGCATGATCTGGGGTAGGGACCCGGCTCCAGCTGCTCTGCACGTCGGATAAATAAATTACTCATTTACTCAGCAGATTGGCAACTGGTTTTCTTCGAGCAGGAACCGAGGGCCAGGCCCCGTTGAGGTGGCACCTGCGTAATCCCCACCCTGGACTGGGTGGTGGCTGTGTAATTCCTGCACCACAATGTTTTGGGTGAGATTAGGTTGAGGTTGGATGAGACAGAAGCTGAGTGAAGAGCTCACCTTAATGTCAGCTCTGAGCTCCACCAGCTGCTCCTCTGACATTCGCACTGCCACATCCGTCATCTTCTTCAAGGCTTCTGCCTTCTTCTGGCGACTGACCAGAATTTCCACTGGAAAACAAGACCAGAGCTTAGGCAGCATCGACACCAAACCTGCAAGAAAGCTGGGGAGGGACTTTTCCTAAGGGCAGTTAATGACAGAACAAGGGGAAATGGGTTTAAGCTGAAAGAGGGGAGGTTTAGATGAGATATTAGGAAGTTCTTCACTGTGAGGGTGGTGAGACAGTGTCCCAGGTTGGCCAGAGAAGCTGTGGCTGCTCCTCCCTGGAAGTGTTTGTGGCCAGGTTGGATGAGGCTTTGAGCAACCTGGTCTAGTGGAAGGTGTCCCTGTTGCTGGCAGGGGGGTTGGGACTGGAGGAGCTTTAAGGTCCCTCCCAACCCAAACCAATCTGGGATTCTACAAAACCAACTTACCCAGAGTTAAACCACCCCAGTCCTGGCACAGATGGCACCTTACTGGTAAACACCAGGTTCCCCCAAATCCCCCTGGCAGCTCGGTGCTGGCTGCTCCCTCCTGCAGTGATTTCCATCTCCAGCCACAGACCAAGCTGAGCTGAGCTGAGCTGGGCTGAGCTGAGCTGCCTCGATGACGGTCTCAGCTTTGGGAGAAGCTTTGCCTCTCGCTCTCCCCAGACCAACTGCTTCCCTGTCACCCCCTATAAACCCTGGGGCTCGGTGCTGCTGCTGTGGGTGTCCCCGTGGATCATGTCCCATCTGCACCAGGCAAGGTGAAAAAGCCTTTTCCAGCTCCACAGGAATGCTGAGATTTTGGGGAATGGTCTCCCATGAGAGAAGACAGTTTTATCTCCCTGTCCTCTAACGAGGGCACGGACTCAAGAGGATGGTTTGTGTCAACACAATCCAGTCAGGATATACACGGGTAACTCGAGCCACGGGGCAAGTTTTCTCTGGTTACAGAGCCAAATATCCAGGAAAATGTGAAAAGGAGATAAAAAAATCACAGAAATTTGTGTCTAGGGGGAGTTGGGCTGTCTCCTCAGGGTGGAGCTCTTCAGGTGGGCACTTGGGAGAAAGAGAAGAGTCTTACTTGCTTCTGCTTTCACTTTGTCCATCTCAGCCAGCAACGCCACCTCCCGATCCATAAGGCTGGAGGAGAAAAAAAAAAACAACATAAAACCAACAAAAAAACCCACAAAACAAGAAAAAAACCCCAGAAAAAGGGAAGAGATTAAGTATTAAACAAAGAGGACAATGAAATCCCACTGCAGGAAGAGAAGCCAAAGGGTTTCCCGGTGTGTTGGCCAGTGAGGAGACACCGGCAGATGGCAGAACCGCGCTGTGCCGCGCACCCAGCCCTACACCCAGCTCTGGCTTTTGTTCTGGACGTGGAAGAGTTGGGCCCAGGGCTTTGCTGATGTGAAACTTGCTCAGGTTTGGGTCAGTGTGGAGCAGGGTGCAGCGTTCCCAACAAACCACGGGGTACGTGGTCACCTTGGTCCGATAAAAGTCGGAGTCACCTTGGCAAGGGGAGAGGGAGCTGTGGTGTTGGGAAAGGGGGGGGGAAGCTGTGCTCCACTGGACTTTATCACCAAAGAAAACAAGGGCACGAGGGTTTAATGAGTCACTTAAATACAAAACTAACGAGCAGCAGCGAGGCAGGACAAGGAGGTGGAGGGGCAGGATGATGGGTACTCAAGCACCCGTCCCCTCCCAAGGGGACCCATCCCCACCTCTGGGGTGCCAGGCTGAAGCAAAGCTTCACTCTGTGCCTTCAGGAGTGTTATTTAAATCAACAAAATGAGTCAATCAACCCAGAAATGTGGATTCTGGTGCCCTGTGCAGCTTCTTGGTTGGTCCCCACAGAGCTGCAGGACCCACGCGAGAGCGTGTTCACAGTGCAGCAGGTATGAGGACACGTCCTCCTGCCACTCTGTCACCATACAGGTGGCCAGAGCCACACAGAGCCACACAGATCCATGATCCCAGACTCCCTGAGGATTTTTTGGGGGATGGAGGGAACACCTGAGTGGGTCACAGTGAAGCATCTCCCCTCACTGGGAGGCTCGAACGTGCCTCGAGTGTGTCTGTTACCATGAGACCACGACTCTCCCGGGTATCACAGCAGCAGCTTTGACCCCAGCAGAACCACACAGTGACCAACTGGCCAAACTTCACAAATCCAGGCTATTGAGCACCCTGCTTGGTTAAAGCAGAGCACCCAGGGAGCTCCCCATCCTCCCTGTACACAGGCAAAGAGACCTCTTACCCCTGGAGATGCTCATATCGACTCACTCACAGTAGGAGAGGAAATACCAGTCTTCCCATTCTGGATAGAGGCAGGTACTGGTCTCTGTTATTTTTTTTGCCAGAAGGAATTGAGATCCTCACAGACACTCTCCCTGCAGCTGCTTCTTTTATGCTTCCCTCTAAGCTGTGCCTGCAACGCCTTCGGCCCCGCGCCGCTGCCGCTCACCTTGGCTCGGCGGCGTGAACGCCTCCGACATCAGCCTGGTAACAGAGCCCACTCCAGCTCCTCCTTTCTAAATATTAAAAGCAGAATCTTCCTCTCCCCTGTGAGCTGGGTGACACTCAGGGCACAGACACAGAATGGTCCTCAGAGATATTGGCAATGAGGAGGGTTAGCCCTTCAACGCCGACCACAGGGTTTGGGGTTTTGGGGTTTTTTTGTGGGTTTTTTGTGGGGTTTTTTTGTGGGTTTTTTGTGGGGTTTTTTTAGTGAGAAAGGGCTTGAAAATGGGAAGAATATTTATTTTAGCCACCATCTGAAAAGAGGAAACCACAGAACATCTGAAATGCAAACTCAACCCCACCGCTCCCGCTCCTCTGCATGTCAGAGAAGGGAGGGGGGGGCTGAGGCAAGATCAATTTAAACAATTCCCTCTGAACAGCAGCTTTGACATTTGGCTTCTTCTGTTGATTTATCGCTCTGTCCATCTGCCTTTTCAGGGCAGGAATTGTTTCTGCTCATAGCACAGCAGGGGCCTGATCCAGGTCAGGCACTCTCAGCCCAACTGAACAAATACAACACGGCGTGTCAAAAGCCACGTTAATCAGATTTCACCTCGTTTCCATCCAGCCATCCCTAGAGCGCTTCAACCCGACTGCAACACCCAGGGGCAGGGTGAAGGGAGGTACCCCAGGTGCCTTCTACCTTGAACCACGTCAGAGGCAGGAATTCCCCAGAGCTGAGAGAGAAATACGGGTGTAAATGTGACCTTAATGGTTAATTCTCGTGGCGCAGAACGTGGCTGTGCTACACTTTACCCCAGCGCCTCCTCCCTGAACACACAGGCAGAGCCCAGCTCTCCTGGAGCCAACACCCACTTTTTATGGGCCACGTTGGGCTCTCCCTGCCAAGCTGTGGGCACACACACCTTGGCACAGACCCTCCCTGCCAGGCTGTGGGCACACACACCTTGGCACAGATCGTAGCTTGCGTCTCACTGTAATTTAATTTACTCAGCAGAGCTCAGCTAGAGTCCTTTACCCAATTTTACAGCTGGGCTGGCTGAGGAACAGAGGTCAAGTGGCTTTGCCTGAGGTTTGTGTGATGAAGTGACTCGGATCAGACCTCACTGCTCCTTCCATCCCGCACGGCTTCTCGTCAAACAAACTCACTTCCTTCTGCTGGATCCGTTTGGAAACACGCCTGCCTTTCTCCACTGCTGTCCTGGGAACAGACCCATGCAGGATGGAAAGGACTGGGCTTGAAGAAAGGACATTTAAGGAAGAAAATGGGGAATTAGATAAACTGGTAACTGCTGAAGATAAAATAATGCTGAATCCTCCTCGGCTGTGACCCAGCCACCAGAAGAGATGCTCCCAGTTACCAGGCAGCTCGGTCGAGCAGCGCCTGCGAGATGTTTCCTCTTTGTGAAAGACAGCAGCTGTCTGCACAAGCACACTGAGGGGTTTGGGTCAGTTTTCCTTGGGGTGGAAACACAACCATCTCAAAGATTGACTGCAATCGAAGGCGGCTGGAAGCTCTGCCAGGAGGAAGCAGGAGCGAGCTGCAGGATGAGGCGTGTGGCGGCGATCTCAGCAGTGAGAAACCTCCACCCCTGCCCCACGCTCACCTCAACTTCCCTGCACCACTCACAAACAGCAGTTGTTTGGTGGTTTTGGGGTTTTTTTTTTTCCCTGATGTGCTACTTACTTTCCCTGTCAGCAGTCAGCAAAATATTTGGGAAATTAAGGACTATGAGGATTCCCCAGTTCACGTTACTCAATCAGCTCCAGCCCAGAAAAGCAAATCCTCTCCAAACAGGAAGCCAAAGCAGCTCCAGCTCCATCTGCCACTCAACCAGGATGGATTTCAGAGACTGAGACAGGCACAACCCCAGCATTAGAATCTCCTTCTTCACCCTCACCTACCTACAGACCACAGGTCTGACATAAGCACGTTGTCTAGCGAGAGAAGACGAAGGTCAAGAACTCCAGGAAGCCTCAGTGGTTAAAAGGAGATCCAAAGCTCAGCCCTGACAGGCAGAAGTTAAACCAGTCCAAGCTTTGCTATTTAAATATCCTGTTTCAGTTGAACAAACTTGCTTTTCAACCAGGTTTTCCTTTGGTAAGGAGCCAAGTGGAGAGGCAATTCAGCAAAAGGATTTAACTATCAGCCCCTGCCTTGTGCCACGGGCTTTAAAAAATACACTAATTATTTATTCTCTGGGTCACAAAGTTGGAAAAACAAATAAACAACAACAAAAAAAAAACAATATAAAAAAAATGTGAAGGGACAATTTACATCTCAGCTCACTGGCAACTGCATCACATTGGGGAAAAGGAAAGTGAATCCTTCTGCAGTGTCACCACGTATCGACGGCGCCGACCTGGCAGCTCCTGCGCTTGGCATTTGTCAAAGGAGGTTCCTGGTGGCCCCGTTCCAGGCGGGCACTCGCCTCACGGAACCACACATCCTGCTTCACCTGCTGCTGGCTCAGTTATCAGAGCAAAACCCTGATGGATTGGGCTGGAGTCTTTAACCTTTCTGAATGTGACGTGAGTGTTTGAGAGATGAAAACGTGAGTCAAAGGGTGAGGACTTACTGAGACGGAACCGGACGCGTTAGCCCAAAGAATGACATTTTCCATACCAGGGAGAGGTTTTTACAGGTGATGTAACTGCATAGAGAGGTTGAGAATCAAAACCACCAACACCTCAACAATAAAAACCTGCTGTCTACAGTGATAATGAACCAGTATCAGCACTGACTCAGTAGACAAAAGCCACTAATGACGTAAGAAATAAATATTCCTAAAACCAAACTTGAGTTTGGGCTACAAATCCCTCAGCTCTCGACAGGGTAAATCCCTCCTGCTGCAGCTCTTCCAAAAGATCAGAGATATTGGGAGCTCCACATCCAGCTTCAGCTTGGAGACCACAACAATGAGCCCAAAAAACACAGGTCAGGGCACACAGACACCTTTAACCCCACCCTTCCAGTCTGGTCTAAGTGTCCTCAAGTTTTGAAGCAATCTATAAACATTTTTTGTTAATATTTTTAGCATATGTTCAATTTAAATACAGGACAGCATTCTGCTTCCTTCAGGAGAGCACTTCCTGGTGGCAAAGTTCAAAACAAGTAGGAGCACAAGAAAAAGTCCACATTGAACCATTAAACTTGCTAAAAGGCTTCAGAACTCAGCTCTTGAACATCACCAGCACTAAACACTCTTGCCTTTGAGGCCACACGCAGTCCCCAGACGTAGACAGCTTCTGACACAGCTTCTGACACAGATTTGCAAGTCTGCCAAATATCTGTTTTAATCCTTCAATGTGATAGCAGCACTGGAGTGACTTGTCAAATGTTACTCACTTCGGGCAAGGAGAACTCTCCGTGCAATTTCTTGTGAATATTTCTTCACCAAAAAACTTGTTTAACCAAGAAGAACAATTTCTTGGTAACAAAATCCATCAGCCAAGACAGTGAGTGTACCTGGTGTAAGGAATTATCATCTTAAAGCACTTCTCCAAACCAATAAAGATGTTAATTAAAAAAAAAAGACCTGATTACACTCGTAGGGAACATCATGCACAGTATTCAAAGCTTGGCTGGAAACAGGGGAAGCAATGCTGTGGAAGATGATCTTTGATGTGGACTTACACCTTCAGAAGGCCCCTCTCTTCCATGTTATATTCAACTATAATTTGAAGATTTCAACTCTGAAATGTTTGTTTGTAAAGGACACACACTACAGCACACCCTGAGCTCCCAACAAGTTCTCCTTCCAGCACAGCTGACACAAACACCCAACTGAGAGCACGTTCCCCGCCAAGTTCCTCCTATTATCTGTGTCTAAAATGACTTTATGATGCTCAGGACAACTGCCTGGTACAGACATGGAGCCAGAGTTTGTCCAAGACCCTGATGGACACACCAAAGCCTTGAACAGTCTATTAACATCCCACCACCTGCCTGGGATGAAAGCTTGAAGACAGGTCTTGCAAAGCTGCCTGCAAAAGTGGCTTCTAAAACCTGCAGAGCACAGGATTTTAGACTCCAGTTGATTCTTTACGTCACGCTGAGCGCCCAGATGCTGAAGAGCAGCTGGGAAAACACAAGCAAGTCATGACCCTGACTGAAAAAGCTGAAGTCTTCTTCTAAATATATTGGTTTTAACACCTGGATCTGTCTCTATATTTAACTTACCTACTCTGGAGTTCAGCAAAGACCTGTTTCATCTTCTTAATGGAAGCATCCATTTCCTCCTTCACCACCACCCGGTACCGAGCCAGTGAGACGGTGCAGCGCTGGAGATCCTTCACTGATTTTTCAATATTAGAACCTACCAAGAGACAGAGTGAACTCAAACAGCCATGTCAATCACACTGCTAAATCCTCCCAGCAGGGATAAATCTAAAGATGGCTTTTCCCCTCTTATTTTAAAATTATACACTGCTCAGTTTTACATTTTTCTTCC